GCTATACTTGGTGAGGGCCTCATGTGTTGGCACAATCCATCACAGCTTCCTGGGAGGGACAAAGGAGCCTGCGGGGCAGTCCCTGGGACAGTGTGTGCAGTGCGATGTGGGGACAAGGCTGGGGGGCAGTCCTTGGGGACGATGTCCACAGTGCGATGTGGGGACAATGCAGCCTGGAGGACAGTCCCTGGGACAGTGTCTGCAGTGTGGTGTGGGGGCCAGGCAGACGTCCAGGTGGGTAGGACTGCGAGATGTGCAATCACCACTGCTAAAGACACTGCCTGTTCATGCTGTGTCTTAAGACAATTTTCAATGGTATCCAGCAACACAGACGACAGAGGGACGACCACTGCTGCGTGATTGTGCCTCTTTCCTCCAACTCTGCTCGCAATCCCAGCTTCCTGCAAGCGGGGCTGGACCCCGCCCGCCCCTTGTGTGAGATCCGGATGGAGCGCTGGAGGGAGCGGGATCGAGCCTGCCTCAGCCCCCACTGCTACAGGCACGTGGAAAGTGGTCCCGCATGTGCAACAGCCTGTTCCTCTGCCTTTCTCCCCTGCTCCTTTCAAATAAATACCTCTTTTCTTTGAAACCAAACCCTGCTGGAGGCTCTCCTGCTTCTTCATCGCAGGCTTAGAGCAGAGAAGTGCTGAGACTGGAGGTCACCCAGGGGCTCAAGAGAACCCCACTGCCCACACTCCGCTCTCCCCTAGGCATCACTCAGGCCAGACTCTAAGAACTGTGAGTTCCACGGCAAGGAACAGCACGCCACCTCCTTGGGAACACGGTGTGACAGCGGCTGGGGGCTGGGGGCGGTGTCCAAGGGGACATAAATTAGCAACCTGAATAGCACTGACAGTTAATTTGCTGGGGCTCTGCAGTGTGCCAGGCCCTACACACACAACCCAGGCCGTACTTACACACACAGCTCCGCACTGTGCCAGGCCCTACACACACTTTCTCTCTCTCTCTCTCTCTCTGCTCTTTCTCTGCTCTTAAATCACTGGCAGCAAAGGCAGTGCCCAAGGTAGCTGGGAGGTAGTAAAACTGAAAGGCCTGCCACTGGACACTTCCTGTCAGTGGACATTTCCTGTCAGTGGACATTAGCTGCCACTGGTCACTTCCTGTTAGTGGACATTCACTATCACTGGACACTTCCTGTCGCTGGACACTTCCTGTCGCTGGACATTTGCTGCCACTGGACATCTGCAGCTCTTGAAGCGTCCTGTTTTGACTTCACTATATTGTTCGTGCACGTTGAGGAAACATTAGCCAGGAAGCCACAGCTCTCTGGGTTTTAGCATGCTGTGAGCTCTCTTCAAGTTTGTGTTTTTCCTAAGTTCCTAGAGTTTCAGTTTATTTACCATTAAGAAATCCTAGTGTTTTATCACAGGCATTTTATAGTTATTTTAACCACTCAAACAAAACAAAACATACTTGAATCTACAAAGTATGAAATATTGATCAATCTCTTTTCTTCTTGCCAGAAGAATAAAAATTCTTTTTTTTCAACCAAGAACTTCCAAGTTTCTGTGATTAACACCCCAAATTTGTAACCCAGAGGCCTGCAGTGCCTGAAGCAGCCAAGACAAATGGGGGTGGATGGGTCCTGGGCCCAGAGATCTCCTGGCCCACTCCACCCACTCCGGGGCCAGCGCCTCCCTGTGATCTAGTGTCCTCGTCCACTCTGCCCTCTGCCATCAGCTCTCCCTCCCACACCCTGCTGCCTCCGTGACATCAAGCCTGGCTTCCTGAGCCACAAGCTGTCCAACACATCGGAACCAGGCTCACTCTGCACAAGCCGGACCAGACCGTGGGTCTGGGCACAGCCCACCCTATCCGGACCAGACAGCGGGTCTGGATACAGCCCACCCTGTCTGAGACCAACACTGCTGCACGCTGTTTCTGAGGCAGACCTCTAAGAGCACGCCACAGGCCCTGCCAGCCACAAACCTCACCAGCCTGGTCCTCCACATCCATCTCCTACTTCCCTGAACCCTCTACCCCCTGCCCCAGGGTCCAGCAGGTAAGATGCCCAGATGCCACCTACAGGACCTGGCTTCCAGCCCCAGCTCCAGCTTCCTGCTAACGTGGACTCCAAGAGGTGAGGAGGGCTCATGCAATTGGTCCCTTCCCGCCACATGGCAGCCCTGGATTGAGGCCCTGGCTCCTGGGTCAGCCAGGCCCAGCCCTGGACATGGTCCCATTTGGGATGAGAACTAGTCAGGAGGCAGGAGTTTTCACTGTCCCCGCCCCCCCTTTTTTTTTGCCTCTCAAATTAAAACAAACAAAATCTTAAAACCGAAAACAACTTTGCAACACTCAAGTTCCAAGTTAAGTCAAACATATTATCAATATTTGTAAGACCTGCACATAATTCTACAGAGTTAAAATATATCAAGTTACTTTTTTTTTAAAGATTTATTTTTATTATTTTATTTTTTATTGGAAAGGCGGATATACAGAGAGGAGAGACAGAGAGGAAGATCTTCCGATGATTCACTCCCCAAGTGAGCGCAACGGCCGATGCTATGCCGATCCGAAGCCAGGAGCCTCTTCCGGGTCTCCCACGTGGGTGCAGGGTCCCAAAGCCTTGGGCCATCCTCGACTGCTTTCCCGGGCCACAGGCAGGGAGCAGGATGGGAAGTGGGGCTGCTGGGATAGAACCTGCGCCCATATGGGATCCCGGGCATGCAAGGTGAGGACTTTAACCACTTGCGCCACCACACAGGGCCCAAGTTACTTTTTTTAAGAAGAAAAACTGCTGGGGTCCATGCAGCGGGTGCTGACAACACAAAGGTGTGGAGAGAACAGCTCCCCTGTTGGCAAGGCTGTGAGGAGCTTGCAGCTGTATGGCACGGCCTGGCAGACATCTCTCCAACCAATTAGACCCACTCTCACCCCCTCTGCATGGACACTCAGCCTCTCCGCTAGGAATTCTGTAATCCATTGAGACATTGTTGTTTGCCCCGAGAGATCATTTTTGCAACCAATGTGAGCCTGGGAGTTAATGTTGCTGACTATGTACTGGTGAGTGGGCCTTTAACTGCACACAGGAGTACATTCAGCCCATGCCGTTTCTGGACACCTTATTGTGTGCCTACCCATTGCCCCGGAAACTGGCCCAGACATGTAGCATGCCTTCTGGGAAACGGCTTGATAGAAACCTACAAACTAATAAAAGTGATGGGAGTATGAGCTGAACTACTATGGCAATAAATAGTTACTGTGACCTTAAAGGCTAGCCTGTCCTTCCAATTCTCTGGAGCATTGAAAATATATCTGTTTTAGCCACTTCTATAATTTTCTGGCTTTAATTAATATAGAGATATGCTTTAATTATTGTTGGATTGTTTATGGGGTTGTAGAACCTATAGTTGTAGGGAGACTTAATATTTGAAACTTTTGGGCCCAGCGTCGTGGCCTAGCAGCTAAGGTCCTCCCCTTGAACGCGTCAGGATCCTGTGTGGGCGCCAGTTCCAATCCCGGAAGCTCCACTTCCCATCGAGCTCCCTGCTTGTGGCCTGCAAGGGCATGCGAGGGCAGGTGAGGACAGCCCAAAGCTTTGGGACTCTGCATCCGTGTGGGAGACCCAGAGGAAGTTCCTGGCTCCTGGCTTTGGATTGGCACAGCACCGGCCATTGCAGTCACTTGGGGAGTAAATCATCGGATGGAAGACCTTCCCCTCTGTCTCTCCTTATATATACGACTTTGCAATAAAAAAAAAATAAATCTTTAAAAAAATGGAAACTTTTATCTTGGAAATTTATGCTTTTCCCTTTTGATGTATTTTTCCCATTAAGTGATAGATAAGTTGTGGAAATAAAAATGTAGTGGGGATGTATTACTGATTAGTAGATAACCACATGTACCCTCGCCTTGGAGTCCTGGCTGTCGCTCAATGGTCACTACTGAAGAATGAGTAATGGCTGGCTTTGGAGAAACTGATTATGGTAACTTACAGAATTATCTTTTAGGGGACCTAGTTGACCATGAAGTAAAAGATTAATTAATCGAACATCTGTGCATGTCGGCTTAGTTCTGAAGTTAAGGACAGAACAATCAAACATTTGTACAGAGGTTTGTGATGTGTCTAGTAAATAAAAAGGACAGCTTTTTAAGCTGTTACAAGAGGGGACCAAGGGACAGAAGGGACAGTGTCCGTGTCTTTTCTTTTAGCCGACTCCACACACCCTTCTCGAGCTCCAAACTTGGCTGGAGCTGGCCCCAGCAAAAAACCTTTTTTTTTTTTTTTTTTTACAGAAAGGCACTGGCATCCTATATGGGTGCCAGTTTGAGTTCTAACTGCTTCACTTCTGATCCAGTTCCCTGCTAATGTGCCTGGGAAGGCAGCAAAAGATGGCCAAGCACCTGGGCCCCTGCACCCACATGGGCGACCCAGGTGAAGGTGCTGGCTCCCGGCTTTGAACTGATCCAGCTGCAGCTGTGTGGCCACTTGGGGAGTGAGTGAACTAACAGACAGAAGATCTCTCTCTTTCTGTGATTCTTGCTCTCTAACTCCATATTTCAAGCAAATAAATAATCTTTAAATAAGACAAAAAGGGAAAAAAATAACAATAATTGTTATTTTTAGAAAACTGCTTTACTTATTTTGAAGGCATTTTTAAAAGTATCATCTTTCCAATGGACAGCTAGCCCCCAAACCACAAGACCGACAATCTCCAAGCTGCTGGCTTCAACGATTCTCACGGCAACATGGGCCACCTTGCCCGTGCAGGACAGTCACTGTGGACACAGCTCCAGCACCAGGGAGCAGGAGCCTGTCCAGTATCACAAATGTCCTGTTTCCTGACTGGGTGCTGGCACAGTCTCTCCTACCCATGTACACACATGGCATACTTCTGTAAATTAATGTCAGTGAATGTCAATTTAATTATGTCAAGTAATGTAAACTGATGTCAATGAAATCAAACGTGCAGTGAGATCAGACATCAGCATGAAAGTAAAATCCAACTGGAAAAAGAGTAGCACACAGTACTTACCAAAATTCAAGAAGATCAGTTTGGCCTGTATCCCGGGACACAGCTTGACGAGAAATGGAATGGCAACATACAACCCCAAAAGAAACAGGAGGATCTTCCTCAGTCGGAACCACAGGCCCTTTCGCCTGTAAGAGAAGAGCAATCCTTGATCAAAGGCAGCAGGGGCAACTCCGCTACAGTTTAGGGGCAGAATTACCGAAACCCCCAGACAAAGGGCACACAGATCTTCCCAGTGACAAGAGCAGACCCCACCTGCTTTTGCTGCAGTATTGTAGTTTGAAAAAAGTTTTCAAAATTGAGCTTAGAATTCTACTAGGACAGAACAGCTTGTTTCTTGAACCAAAGGGAGCAGTCTCATTTGTTTCTCGTGTTCGCTTTTGGATAAGGGTCCGTACAGAAGCAAGATCCTCTACCAGGGCCCACCCGACATGGGACCCCAGCGACAACCTCATCTTGGAGGAGAGTGATCTCCGGCGAGCTTGCCAGTCAGCTCCTGCCAGCTCCTGCAGGCAGGTGTGGGTTACTCATTAGCCCTCTGCGGGCAGCAGTGCCCCACAGGCAGCACACAGCAGTAGAACCTGCCCAGCCGGGTCCTGGAGAGCACAGCGGCCGCAGCTGGACCCGACTGTCCTGGCATTTCCACCCACCCACATGCCCTGCTCCTGGCCTCCCAGGTCAGTCACCAGGCAGGCTTCTCCACACTGCTCTAATCCCTCACCGACTCAAGGCGCTCCTTGCCCTCTTTTCCACTCGCTGGCCTCAGGACTTGTGTATGACAAAACAGGGAGGACCTGAGATGAGCTTCTGTCCACAAGGTTACAGCTAGGACTATCTGCTGCACAGACATTGGTTCAAATGAAGACTTGGAAAAATGTCCGTTACTGCAGCTAGTAGCAATGAACCCAACACACTTTTTGCAATACAGAAAACTTGAGTGTCGAGCGTGGAAATCACACTTTTATAGTTCCCTTTACCCCTGCTCAACAGAAGACTGATGGACTCCCTCCCCTACCTGCTTCTGCCTTCAACCTGCAGGGACACCACCTGTCACAGAGCAGCTGGAACCAGTTCCCCAGACATGCACCAAAGAGGCAAGCTTCAGCTTTATGCTCCCATGGGAATCATCTTGACTCAGAGGCCCTTTCAAAGGACCACCATGTACCAAGGGCACTCCTGGAGAACAGCTGCCCTCCTTCACCTCACAAAACAGAGATGGAAACTGCTGGCACACATGAAGAGCAGAGATGGCTCTATGCTAAGACGCATGGGACAGCCTCCAAACGTGGCACGTTCTAGAACAGGGCTGCAGGGCCAGAGAAGCTGTACGTGGTGCTGGGACTGAGGCGGGAGTGCTGACTGAGGGACAGTCAAACTGGCTGTGTGAGCACGCCTGTACCCCCGTCTGCACACTGACAACTGGTGGACTTAGTCACACACACGGCACCTCAGTGAGACGAACCCAAGCAGCCAGCTGGCACAGCTGGTGGCAATACACCTGTCCAACAGTGATGCGGCGCTCACGGCCCTGCTCCCCTGGGCGGTCACCGTGGGGCGCCAGTCCCCTACAGAGAACACTGGCGTCCATCCCCACACATGCCCACAGCTCAGGGCAGCCGGGCACTGATCAAGCACAGACCCAGCCTCCATTCATGTAAGGAATGAGTGAAATGAAAAATATAACCTATCACCATGTGTATGCAGAGAAAGCAATGTTCAAAGTCCACAGTATCGTGCATCACTTAGAGAGAAATAAAACCAATCACCTCAGTTTCAACCTTAAAAAATAACAACATGAAATCATTAAATCCAAAGCAGCACACTTAAGAATAAATTACAGTAAAAATCAATGGAAATGAAAACAGATAATCTACAGAGAAAAGTCAGTAAAAACAAAACCCTGACTTCTGGAAAGATCCATTGAATGGATAAGCCTGCATCTACTCAGGCTAACTGAAAAGCAAGGAAGATACAAACTACTAATTTAAGAAATGACAGAGAGGGCCCAGTGCAACAGCGTAGTGGCTAAAGTACTCGCCTTGAAAGCACCAGGATCCCACATGGATAATGGTTCTAATCCCCGACAGCCCCACTTCCCTTCCAGCTCCCTGCCTGTGGCCTGGGAAAGCAGCCAAGGACAGCACAAAGCCTTGGGATCCTGCACCCATGTGAGAGACCCAGAAGAGGTTACAGGCTCCTGGCTTTGGATCGGCTCAGCTTTGGCCACTGCAACCACTTGGGGAATGAACCATCGGAAGGAAGAGCTTCCTGTCTGTCTCTCCTCTCTGTATATCTGACTTTGCAATAAAAATAAATAAATCTTTTAAAAAAAATTACAGAAGATATCACTAGAGTCCATCCACGTTAAAAGGATATAAAACTGAACAATTCTATGTCCACACATGTGGTAAGCAAGATAAAATTAACCAATTCCTTGAACAAACACAACCTCCCAGAACCCATACAGGAATATGCAGACAACCCGAATAAGCCGTTTCTAGCAGGTGAATTGAAACCCAGCAGCCGCCATTAGCTGAGCTCCAACACAGGAGCAAAAGCAATGCAGCGAAGCAGACACAGTCTTCCATAAACAGCACTCTAACCACCAGCCATCTGTGTGCAGGCCACACGCTGGTCACAGAAGTTAACTCACAATGGATTTTTTTTTTTAATAATCTTAGTTTATTAGGGTACAAAGGGTCACGGGCTACAGGGTGAAAGTGGGTAATATCATTGTTCCCACACTAATATAATCATTTTGCCCTGTATCTGGGGTTAGGGGAGTAACAAAGGGAAAAGCCCCACCCTACTTCCCACCCATCCCCGATCTCCAACATGAGGCGCTCTCCAAGGGTCCTGCTCAAACAGTTTTGATAGTTCATCAGTTCTGGATTGCTGCCAATCTCACCGTCCCAACCGCAATGAAACCTATTCAGAGTCCACTGGCTGACAGTCTCTTGATGGTTGGGGTTCCAAGATCAGCAGTTCAGTTGGAGAGATATCCAAAGAAACTTCATCTGAGTTGATCCCAGATCTGATTCTTGAGTGAGTTTGCTAGTACAGACTCCAACACTGTTCGTCACACCAATCAGCTTATGCATATGCTGGTCGTTGCGATTGTTGGGTCCGTTCGGCTTCCAGCCCTGTCTTCCTTGTGAACCAACGGGTGTTGTAGTCCAGCTCAATTCTACCCACTTCATACTTGGTCTTCATGCAAACCAGTTGGAGCTGCAGCCTAGTTGGGGCGACTCCCCAAAACCCCTACCAGTTCTGCCCCCTACCCTGGTTCCCATGCTTGCCAGTATGCACCGCAGGCTTGTCCAGCCTGACGCACATCCCATTTATCTCTCGCACACGTCAACGGACATTGAAGCCTAGTTCAACCCAACCAACCTATTATCCAGCCCGTACACCCACTGGCAGGTGCCTTTCTGTCTGGTCCCCCGCTGCTCCTAGCCTGGTTTTCGTGCTGTCCAGTGAGGGTGGTAACCCTGAGGGAGGTGCCCACTATTTCCCTACTAGGCCACACCAACTCCCAGAGTATGCAGTCTCCAGGTGGTTTTGGCATTTGAGTTGACAGAATTAGCTCCCAGTACCAGCCTCTGCCAGCTAATGCTGTGCTAAGCCCAAACACCCCTCAACCCACTCTAATTTTAACTTGCAACAGTCAGAACAGTCAGCTCACCATGAGGCCCACAGGTGCTATAGCCCTGCCTAGTCTGAACTGCCCCCATCCGTATTCACACTTTCCAATGGAAGTAGTTATCCAGCAGGGGTGCCCATGTTCCCCTGTTGGCTTTGCCTCCGCCCCGATTGTCACATGTGCTGTTTGTGAGCTGCAGCCACATCTGGTACGGCTCATCTCACCTTGGTATTACTTGTTGTGTACTGGTATGTGTTGCAACCGAACCTGGCTCGACCCACACTCTGTTCTGGTGCTCAGATTCACCAGAAGGTAATGTGAACAGATTCAGGCTGGTCTGCCCCCAACCCACGCCATGTGTATGCCAGTGGGATAATTTTCATTGTCTGTTCTGGGTTGTTCCCCATTGTGCTTCTTGCGCTTACCTGCATGGGACTGTGTCCTGCCAGATAAGTTGCCCAGGCTCCTCCACCAGAACCTCTCCCAATGCCAGTTTTCACGCATACCAGTGGGTCCATGAGCCAGCACTACTCAGTTTGCCTCCTATCCTAGGAGGAACAGTGGCTTTTCCTGACTGGCCTTCGACCCAAGCTGGTTCTTGTTGTTGGATATTTCAACCCAGCCACGGCTCTTCCATACCCCCACACAGCTCACACATGGTTCAGTAAGGGCTGAGACTTAGCCTAGTCTGTCACACATCTCTCCCTGGTCCTCCAGAGCACCAGATGGTGTTGGAATCTGGCCTGGCTTGGTGCTTCCCGTCCCAGTCCACACTTGTGCCAAGTGAGATTACAATCATATCCTGATCAGAATGCAGCCTCAGTTCCAGCCCATGCGCTCCTTGGTGGGGAACTCAACCCAGCTAGGGTGTCCCGTTATTTCCCCAACCGGGCCTCTTCCCTGCCACAGAGCAGGTGCAGGCCGGTGGTTGTTCTGTCTCTGCTTGGCAGAGCCCTCACTTGTCCTGGCCCCTTGGATGCTGTGGCTTAGTGCCTCTGCCTCATGCAGATCAGTATATGCCAGGACCTACATGGCATGAGCTGTGCTCCAACCTGATTTCTGTTGTTTCTTGTGAGTTAAGGTTTGTTCAGCCCTGCCCATTCTGCCCCCTTACAGTGGCAGCCCGGCCCACCCCACATCCTGTTTAAATATGCACATTTGGGTGCTGCTGCCTTGACCTACCCTGACTGTTGTGGATTACTTTACCCATGAGTGATGGCAGGTGGCGTGGTCACATCTAGCTTAGACCATTGCAACCCCACCTTGCAAGCTAACCCGGGGGACTTGTATTCCAAAGGGTTGGGCCCACACAACCCCACAGAGTCTACCCCCAGCCCAAGTTCTCTTGTGTGCTGGATAGTGTCTTGATCCTGCCAAATGTGACCACTCCACAACTCCAACACTCAGTCGGGCAATGGTACCCAACACTGCCAAAGAGGCCCCCATCCATAGCTTCGGTGTGGGCTAGTGTGTGACCATCAGTAA